CCCCCCCCCTCTTTTGCTGACATCTGCCTAGCGAAGAGTTCTGCAGAACCCCAAGGCTGGCGCGCTTTGGAAAGGCCTTGTTACGGATTCTAGCCGCTCTAGGAAGGAAAGCTCTCTCCCCCGTTGGGTCTCCCATTCAGGCGCGGCCGCCACGCCCCTCCGGCGCGCGCCCATTCACAAGCTGGAGCCGCACTTCCTGCCTGTCTCTGTTTGGTAGCGGAGCGCGAGGCGGTGCCGTAAATAGCCGAAGGGAGGCGCGGGCTTTTTTTCTCCCCGCCCCTTTTTCTGTTTGGACTTTCTCCGTAGTGGCGCGAAAAGGAGCCGGAGATGGGGCCGGGGATTATGGATGCCGTGGTGGCCGACCTCAAGGTCTTCGGGCTGGACTTCGCGGAGGGGGAAGACAAGGACGCGATTGCCGAGAAATGTACGAGATCGGCCAGAGGGAGCGGGTGGGGGAGAAGGCGATGAAGAGCAGGTGGGGGAAACCGGGCGCTAGTCCTCATGAAAAAATGGGATGGGGACGTGGTTTAAACCTATAGCTTGCCTATTTTTACGGTAGCCTTCCGTCACTTCTAATAAGCGAACCGGGGGGGGGGGCAGCCAGCCAATCCATGAGAAACCTGCTGGAATTCCGGGTGTTGATATTCCAAGGTAGACTGCCACTGAACGCGGAGGCTTCATGACGGCCCCAAGGACTGGGTGAGATCAGAGGTCTGCCTTGATGGAGAAAGCTTGCTTCGTTCAGTTTGTTGTAAAGGGGGGCACCCCAAACCACCTCTCTTTGAAGACCCCAGTGGCGGGATCCCAAAATCCGAGCCTGGGTTTCCCACGCCCGGCTAAACTCTGAATTAACTCCCCACTTCTGGGTTTTGCACAAAAGATGGGGTTGCAACCTGGCAAGGCTGGCATGCTCCGCCTGGTTAACCTGGTTAACCCCAGCTAGAAATATTGTATTTATTAGGGATTTATGAGGCTTGTATACTCTGCCAGTCTCCGAGGATTTGGGGCAGTGAATAAAACAGACCTACAACAATGAAATGAAAACAGCCAGTCGAAATATAAATGGTGTGAAACCGTGAGCCCAAAACGGAGAAAACAACCCCAAATCCAGATAGTACAGCTCCGTTAAGGAAATCCTTAACGAATCCTTAAAATCCTCAAGGCAGGATTAGAACTTGGGTCTTCCAGCTTCTAATCCAGCACCTTTAATCCTTGCGTCACCCTCTTTCTCAGAATTAACCACAGTGCCAATAGCCATCTTTGGGCAAACTTTCTCTCTCAAGGAAAAAAGGAGGACCGGAGGAAATGGCCCGGAGAAAAATTGCAGGCGGGGAAACCAGTGCGAATGGCGCAAGACCCATCGCACCCCGGCACTAGAAGTTGCGGGATGGAGCAAAACCATCTTGGCGCCGATGGGGCTGGCGCAGGGGGGTGACCTCTCTTTCCCACGCTGCCAGCTAAAGAAAAACTCCCTTTTTGCTCTCTTGCAGTGGAAGAATTCTGCATGGCGGGGTGGGTGACCGAGCCGGAATTAGGCAACGAGCTGATCGCTTTTGCCATGCGCAAGGAAACCCTGCTTCTGACGCTGGAGAATTTGCATGCCTTCGAACACGAGGTAGAAGGCAAGGGAGACGGGCTTGACTTCGCTTCTAGCAATTGTCGATGACTCTGGTGTTAGCATTGCCTCCTGTCAGTGCCCTGAGACAGGAGCCTTTCTCTCAAATGAAACAAAGGTCCTAGTCCTCGTGGTTCACGTGATATAAAGAGGGACGTATTTTTTGGACTGAGTCCGAGAGAGGTTCTGCCTAGCTGAATATAGGCGATATTGATGGCAGTTGCAGCCGCTTTTCGGGTTTTACAAGTAGGGATTTGTGCCGCTCTGCTTAGAAAATCTGGGCGCAGTAATTTAGTTTTGAAGCATTTTCGGGGGGGTTTCCCTAGGGTGTTATTATTTCCACCTATATTATTTATTTATTCATCACATTTGTCACCGCCCATCTCGTGAAACGACTCTGGGCGGTTTGTGACAAGATCAAAATCCATTACAATATAACATAAAAACATTGTATTTTAGCCCGTTTTATTTATTGTTTTTCCCAGTCTCTCTCTTGATGTGAAGTTGACAAAATTCTAGTCGGTGATTGTAATAAAAAATATTGTTGAACTGATCTTTTCCCCTTATAATAAGGCCAAACCCAGTAAGGCTAATCATTAATGCAGTGTTTCTCAACCCCAGCAACTTTAAG